GTGGATATCCTAAATGATGAATTCTAAAATACATCTTTAATTAGGCTTTTTCTTACATTGGAGCGTCTTCTTGTGGTTTGCTGCCGTAGGGCCCTTCTGGTGAATTTCTTACGAACATCATCCCGTTGTGGCAAAGGGTGTAGTCGACTAGTTTGCCGCGCTGCGCGGCCCCATGCCAGACGAAATTCTGGTTGGGGAGGCCTGGGTGGGAGGGGGGTGATGGGTGTGGGAAGGGGGATGGGAATGGGCATGAGTGTGTGGTTGTGCCGAGGGGGGTGTATTTGAGGGTTGTGTGGGGGTTGAGAGAGGTGGTGAAGGAGATGGAGATGGAGATGGAGAAGGAAAAGGAGAGGGCCCGGGGAGGGGGGAGGGACACCGGCCCATGGGCAAAGAAAGATGAGCTTCAAGTGTAGATATCGATGAGCCTGTGACTTTGACTATAAGAATGAGAAGACATTCTCGGAAGAATACACTCTATTTCCGTTTTACTTGGTTAGTTTCTTTACTTCAATTTCCTTTACTCGGTTTCTTCCCTAATTTCTTTTCTCGGGGTCCCCCAAGGCTCACCCCTTTCCCCTGTTCTCTTCATCCTCTACATTTCCTCATTATACAAGCAGCTAAAAGATGAGCACCCTCACTTGGCTATAACAGGGTTTGCGGATGACACCAACCTTCTAGTATTTGGTCGAAACCCCGAAGCCAATGTCCGGCAACTAGAGGCGGCGTGGGAAACGTGTATACGATGGGCGGACAGTCGGGGGATGAAGTTCGCCCCGGAAAAGAGCGAACTGATCCATTTCAACAAAGGGCGACGGCAGTGGACCGAACAAGTAAACCTTGCCAACCCAAGGGGAGGCACCAGCCCCGTTAAACCAGAAGGGTCTGCCAGGTTCCTGGGAGTCTGGTTGGACTGGAAACTCAACTGGAAGGCCCACCTGGTGGCGGTGGAGAAGAAGCTGAGGACCCAGAGCTATGCCCTGTCGAGGATCGTGGCAAAGACATGGGGGATGGGGCTAGCCAAAGCGCGAGAAGTGTACACAAAGTGCATCCGGTCGGCGCTGGCCTATGGCGCATCATCGTTTCACATCCCCACGGATGTGGGAGGCGAGCCGGCAAAGAAAGGCATCACTAAGGCCCTCGGGAAGGCCCAGAACAAGAGCTTGCGGATTGTGGCGGGAGCCTTTAAGTCTACCCCCATCCGTAACCTCGAGACAGAGACATGGGTACCACCATTAGACTTGTACCTAAACAAACGGCTTGCAGATTTCGAAAACCGACTCCAACAACCCGATCTGGACGACGGTCGAGGCGGCAAGAAGACGGCGGCGAGCGTTGTCCTCACCGCCTGCCGCAAGATTCAGCAGAGACTCAGCTCGAGGAGGGGCAACAGGGGCCGACCGCGAACCTTGGGACCTCAAGGGCCTACGGCGGTGGAGAGAGCCGCGGGCACGGTCATGCGCTGGACGGGGGGAACCGTTGACACGAACAGGGTAGTAGAAGAGGCTTGGAAAGCCAGGTGGTTAAAGGAGCGGGACGGCAGGGCAATCACCAGGCCGGCGGACGACTTTGACCATCAGCAGGAGACGCTATTCCGGAACGAAACCCTAAGGAGGCACGACGGTCTCAGCAAGGCAAAGAGCTCACTGCTGATTCAAATCCGGACGGGAGCGATAGGCTTATGGGACTTCTTGTTTACACGGGAAGTCCCGGAGGTTCTGACTCCTGCCTGCGAGTGTGGCGAGGGATGAGAGACTGCCGAACACCTGGTAGTGTGGTGTTTGGCCCCACCGTTGACTAGAAGATGGGAGAGAACTGGAATTCGGACACGACGGGACTTTTACTCTGTTCTACACGGCATCAATCCCACGACTGCACGGCTCGCGAGGAGAGTTCTCGACTGGCTGATGGACTCGGGGAAGCTGCCGATGTACAGCTTAGCCAGGAGGCTCGAGCTGGAAGCGGCGGTCTGAAGCGCCCCCGTTCGGAGGCCAGGAGGCCTCCTCTCTTTGTATATGTGGGCTCACTAAAACGCATCGCTCCTTGATTGTTGGTATGGGTTTTTCACCCGGCCCGGGAGGGCACGGTTTTCCTGTACACTAAATAGCTGAGGGTCCGGCACGCCCTAGGGCATAGCGGAGTATGAATAATAATTTCTTTTCTCTGTCTTCTTTTCTCCAGCTAATCTCTTTGCTCAGTTTCCTTTGCCTCTCTCATTTCTCGACATCCTTTACTTCTTTCTCTTTTCTTGGGTTCCATTACTTCATTCTCTTTTCCGGCCTCCTTTACCTCTTTCTCTTTCTTGATTCTTGCTCCCCTTTTGAGTTCTGCTTTAGCCAAAGGGTGAGTGAGGAATTAAGGGGTGGTTGTGGTGGTGTTGTTTGTTTGGGACAGGGGGATGTGTGGGGCGTGGCGTTGAGGGGAGTTGAGCAGTCACTTTCACTTCATGAACTGCTTTGTCTTACGTTGTGAGAGAGAGCAATCTGAAACTGAATTATATGACAGCTCTCAAAACATGGGCCAGTGAATAGAAATGACAAGGTTCTTGCTTCGGCCATGGGTAGTTGCAGGGAGCTGCATATGCGCCCAACTCAGGGTTTGCTCTTTGTGTCGAGCTGGGACTTAAGGAGCGCGTCCGCATGCTGGAGTCAACATCACCTCCTCTCTCTCTTTCCCCAAGCGAACCACAAGGCCTAGGTTCCTGACCCGGATACCTCTCTCTGTCTCCCGCAAGGAACGCAGAACCCAAGTCCTCGACGACCCCCTGAGTCTCGACACCAGGGCCGAACCCAGCACCGCCATCATGGCCAGGAAGAAGAGGTCTCGCAACATCGCCGCGGAATTCAACACCTACTTCGGCGCGGGCACTGTCCAAGACTGGCAGCGTCTATGTCGTGACGTCGGGCTCACCGGCGAGTACACCAACATCAAGCAGTGCCGGGAGGTATGTGAAATTGCCCCCCTGAGATTGCGCAACAACCCGAACTAGTAATTAACAGGAGACAAATGACAGGCTCTACATACCGTCCACGTCAACATCCACGACCTTCTCGATGCGGTAGGGAGGGGGGCGACACCGCAGCGCTTCGGGAACGCGAGGCAACTGGCCGAATACACTATGCGGACGCGCAAGATTTTCCCAAAGAAGCGGGCCAAGGAGATGGGGCCTGTGAGGGCTCTGTTGCGGATGATCTTCTGATCCCAACACCACGCTGTATCTAGAATTCGAGGGAACACTCCCACTTCCTCTCTCGGAACATCAATTGCACACCAACCCCCACCCTATCCTTTCTCTCACTCTGCCTGTACATGCTGCTCCCCACGTAACCAACCCCCCCGTTCAGCCCCTAATCTCCCACAACCGAATCTTGCCCACATCATTCCCTACCGCCAACACATCACTCCCCGCGCTGAACGCCACCGCCGTAATCCGCCCCAGCGGCGTCTGCTCAGTCGGCCAGTTCCGGTAGACGGTGCAGGTAGGCAGGTGCACCAGCCGGAGGGCGTCCTTCTTGTGAAAGCTGCCAAACGCCAGCAGCTGACCATCAAGCGCAAAAGTAACCACCGAAATCGACGTCGTCAGCTGCTCAAACGAGCGCGTCGGCTCCGGCAGCTTCTTGATCTCCACAGCCGCGGCCGCCGCGGCCGCCTGCTTACCAGTCGCCGACCTGGCCAGCAGCTCGTTTCGGTCGTAGACATTCAGCACACCGCTGTTGGACCCGACAGCCACCCAGCGATCGCCGCCCAGCTCGGCCGGCCCGCCGCGCCCGCCCAGCGCCATGACCGTGCCGCCGATGGACCCTTCGTCCCGCCAGATGCCGACGGTCCGGCGCGTGGCCATGCTCCACTCGGCGACCTGCCCGTCCTTCCCCGCGATAGTCAACCCCTCGCCGTCGGCCCACCAGGCGAAGTCGGCGACGCCGCCGCGCCCGTCAATCCGCGCCTGCGCGATCCACTGCATGGACCCGACGCTGACGATGTTCAGCATGCCGCCGCCCTTCTTGTCGCTGGCGACGAGGGCCAGGTAGCGGCCGCAGGGGCTGAGGCGGAAGCGCTCCATGGAGCGGTGCTCCTTCTGGTGGCCCTGGATCTTGGAGACCTTCTTGACGAGGCCCGACGACAGGTTCCAGCTGTGGAAGTAGCGGCGGCGGCCGGCGAAGATGACCTCGTCGCCGTCGGGGCCCACGAAGGCGGCGCGCCGCAGGTCCGTGCGCTTGACCTGCACCGACGTCAGCGCCGGGTTGGGCACCGGGTGCGCCGAACCGTCGATCTGGTGCAGGTACATGACCGAGGAGGTGCTGGAGGACAGGAGGATGGGCCGGCGCGGGTGGAAGGAGAGGGACGAGACGCCCGCCTTGTGCGTGTCGGGGATGTCGCGGGTGCGTTGGATGTCGAGGGTTTCTGGGCGGAGCTTGCGGCGCTTGGACTGGGTGTTGTCGGAGGTGGGGGCGAAGGATTTGGCGTCGCGGAGGAATGTGTCGAGGGGCAGGGGGGCGTCGATGCCCTCGCCGTCGCTGTCTACTTCCATGTCTGAGGCGGAGGAGTCGTTCGAGGCGGCTGACGAGCGGCGCCTCCTCCGTTTGGACCCGGCGGTAGCGGCCTCGTTGGCCCATTCGGGGAGGGGGTAAAGACGGAGGTACTGTTGCCGTAACCGCCGTGCGTATTCAGTGCCGCTAACAACATCCTCTGCTTCGGTGTTTCTGAGTTTCCTAAGCCGTGTTGCTCCGGCCAGGGAGACGGTCAACCTCTCATCGTCACTGTCCTCCCACGCGGGCGCTTCCTCTTCCTTTTCTTGTGGTGCTTGCCTCGCCTCAACCAATTCAAGCTCCTCGTCTGAGTCTCCTCCCGTGTCGAGGGTAAAGAGCATTGAGTCGGAGACATGCTCGTGGCCTGTGGCTGTAGCATCATCTTCAGGCGCGACTTTTACAAGCGCTTTGGAGTCGGTGACAGCAGGAAGAAAGTCGTCACGGAATAATTGCTCGCGGAATGTCTCCCTGCTTCCTAAGACGAAGCGCTCCAGCTCCTCCTCGTCGGAATCCTTGTCGAGAAGCGCAGTTCTCCTCTTTTCGGCGAAATCGTCGGAGTCGGAGTCGGAGGATGAGAGGACGTCATCTTCGTCGAAGTTGGCAAATGACCCCTCGTCGGAGGGCAAGTCCTCTTGTTGTTCTTGGCGGCGCCTCGACATGGTGAGTTGTTGTGAGAAATTTGGCTATGGAAGAACACAGAGGGGCAGATCAATCAGTGATCGCTTTGGTTCACTTTTTTTTTCTGAGCTTGCATCGCAGCCTTGCAGAATGGTCGACGCCAAGACTTTACTAAGTGGGGCCATGTGCGAATAAGTCAGGGTCTTCCCTCAGCCTCGCACATAATCTCTTGTAGTTATGTACTAAGTTAGTTACGTACTTCGTATATATCAGAACAGAGGGACCATGCCGCTTCGCGGCCCGCCAAAGGAAGCCTGGAGGAACGCGCCGGCGCAATTAGCCCACGGCCGCATCACAATGCCGTCGTGCGATTAGTTTTAGGATGGCTCATAAATGTTGGAAAGCAAGCAAGAGCAGTTCTTTGGTCAATCTCAGAAGTTAGTAATACAGCACAGCGGTGCTCCAGGGCTGGCTGGTAGTTCGGGGATTTCGAGCATGGTTCGGCGACGAAAATGGGTTTCTACTTGCAACTCACAGAGCCAACTGGTACAAAGCAACTGAAATCTGCAAAAAGAGCTAACAACTCAGTTAACGTACCGAACGAGATTAGTCCCGAACAAGAAACAGATATCTTGCGCTAGCGTAAATAAGGTAGTTAACGTTTTTTTAGTTCCTGAGGCAGCCGGACACCCGTTATTCCAACAGATGGCTGCCGCAAAAGGCAGTTTCTTGGCATTGATCACTTCCCAATCATGCCATCCGGCGGGCTCGAGGTGCTGTATGCAAGCGCCCACAGCATCAGGGCCCCCAATGTGGGTGTGTGTAATTGGCGTGTGTAATTGGTGAGCCTGTTGTTGCGGCCTGATCCCGCCCGGCTTGATCCTTTTCAGCTTGCTCTCGTTTTTCTATGGCAACTGTTGTACAAGGCTGCGCTCCTCAGTGTGATAAAACAACATGTCGTTGTCACGTCGCCTCTCTCTCCTCGGGTGACTCAATTCCAGCTTCCGTCAATGTAGGCCGACCTTATAACCCCAACAATCTGCTCGTCAATCTGACGGTTTCATCCGCTTTCATCCGCACCATGACATCCCACAACGCTCTCGACAGCCCCGACTACTATGGGGTCGCTTGGATCGCTGCTCTTCCCATCGAGCGGGCCGCTGCAAAAGCGATGCTCGACGAGGAACATGCGCCTCCAACTGGCTTCGTTAGACACCAAACCGATGCAAACGTTTATACATGGGGTCGGGTGGGTGAGCACAACATCGTCATCGCCTCTCTTGCCGCCGGAGTCTATGGAACTACCTCGGCTGCGACCACGGCATCGAGCCTGCTTGCCTCTCTGCCATCCATCCGTGTTGGTCTTTTGGTCGGCATAGGCGGCGGCATCGCCCGACCGGACGAGGATTACGATATACGGCTCGGCGACGTTGTCGTGAGCCAGCCCGACGGGACCACAGGCGGCGTCTACCAGTACGACTTGATCAAGGCCAAGTCTGGTGACAGGCGTGAGCGCAAAGGCTTTCTCAGACCTCCTCCGACCGTCCTCCTTAATGCGCTTGCCAGCATCCAGGCCGATCACGAGTCGACGGACTCCAAGGTTCCCAACTTCCTTCAACAGATGCTAAAGAAGAACCCGAAAATGAATAGAAGATCCAAGCAAAGTCCTGGCTATATTCACCAGGGCACCGACAACGACCGGCTCTTCCAATCTTCATGCGACCACGTCCCCGGGCCGGACTGTCGGGGCTGTGACACGGCTGACGAGGTTAAACGCGATGCTCGAGACACCACCGACCCCGAGATCCACTACGGAACTATCGCATCCGGCAACTCGCTTGTCAAAGACGCCGCCACGCGTGATCGGATTGTTGCCGACGTCGGCGTGAACTGCATCTGCTTTGAGATGGAAGCAGCCGGCCTGATGAACCACTTTCCCTGTCTTGTGATCCGAGGGATCTGCGACTACGCCGATTCCCACAAGAACGATCGATGGCAACGCTATGCCTCGGCCACCGCCGCTGCGTATGCCAAGGAGCTCCTGGCCTACGTGCCGGTCGCGGAGGTTCATGAGACCAAAAGGGCACTGGAAGTGCTTAATCAAGTTAGTGACCCTATATTCTCCCACGGGGGCCTTGGCAAGCGAATGATCAAGGGACAGTAATAATCCCTCTTTGAAGACATTCTGACCTGCATTGCTTCAACAGAAACTCGATAGTGTGCAGCAGACCACAGCTGCAGCGAAACTGGCCACTGATTCCATCCAGGCCGACCTTCGTACCGAGAAGATCGAGCGCTGGCTTCGACCCTCTGATCCGTCTACAAACGCCAACCACGCGAGGGAGCTCCGCCATGAGGGGACAGGTGCGTGGCTCTTGGAAAGTCCGGTCTTCCAAGAGTGGCACTCGGGGTCTCGTCAATATTTATGGCTGCATGGGCTCGCGGGATGTGGAAAGACGGTTCTCAGTGCGACTGTGCTGGATCATCTCGCAAAGGGAAACGACCGTCGTATCCTCAGCTTCTTCTTTGACTTTAGCGACACGGCAAAGCAGACCGTGGATGCCATGCTGCGGTCACTTGCTTTCCAACTCTACCGAGGCAGGGCTCGTTCTGCAGGTGTTCTTGACGCCTCATTCCAAGCACACCAGGATGGCCGCAACCAACTTGCAACGAAGACACTCTCAGATGCTTTATTCAAGATGCTCGCAGTCCAGAAGAAAGTCTCTATCGTTCTAGATGCCTTAGACGAGTCGAGAACGAGGGCCGACCTACTCCTCTGGATTAGGGACGTAGTGTCCAGGCCAGAGCTGGGCCACGTCCAGCTGTTCTGTACCGGTCGGCCTGAAGCCGAGTTCCTGCGCGACATCCCCTCGTTGATAGGCGAGGGAAACAGCTTAGAACTTAACAAGCAGGCTGTCAACGCCGACATCCGATCATACGTCGCAGCACAGCTTTCGCAACGACGCGAATTTCGGGACAAGCCCTTGTCGCAGGATCTCCTCCTGCTGATCCAGAGTAGGGTTGGAGACGGGGCCAACGGGATGTGAGATATCACTGCTTCGATTGATATGCTGATGGTTTGCTGACACGGTGCTTAGGTTCAGGTGGGCGTTCTGTCAATTGGATAGCCTAGCTCGATGTCGTCATGAAGCAGCTATTGAGGAGGCTCTCGCATCTTTGCCGCGGACCCTGGAAGACACGTACCGACGCATGATTGAATGCATACCGATGGAGCTTAAAAACGACGCGATGCGGCTCCTGCAGTTTCTAGTGCATTCGACGCGACCTCTCAAGCTGGCCGAGGCTAAAGAAGTAATAGCAACGCAGATCGAAAACGAGCCGCGAGGGTTTGACGTCAAGCGTCGACTGTTTTGCGATACTGATGTTTTGGACTACTGTCCTAGCTTAGTGACAGTCGTTCACGCCGCCGGCAAAGAGCTACATCTTGCCCACTTTTCTGTCAAAGAGTACCTTCTCAGAGACGAGCGGTTCAACATTACGATTGCTAGCATTCCCATTGCGAGGACGTGCTTGACTTATCTTACGGACATAAACGGTAACCACGAAGAGATTAAGCGGGATTTTCCAATGGCAAGATTTGCGGCGGAAGTCTGGACATACTATGCCACGTTCGCTCAGGCTTCGGAAAATATGGTTCAAACAACTGTTAGGTTCCTAGAAGAGGAAGTGACGTTTCAGCGGTGGGCTCGTTTGTATCAGTCTGATAGGGACTGGGACGATGACCCAGGTCCTCCACAAGGTTCCAGGCTCTATTATGCTTGCTTCGCTGGGCTCGTAACACCTGCGCAAATTCTTATCAGCAAAGGAGCGGACGTCAACGCGCAGGGCGGCGAATACGGCAACGCTCTCCAGGCCGCCTCATCAGGAGGCCATCAAGAGATTGTCAAACTGCTGTTGGACAAGGGAGCAGACGTCAATGCGCAGGGCGGCGAATACGGCAACGCTCTCTAGGCCGCCTCATCGGAAGGCCATCAAGAGATTGTTAAACTGTTCGAAAAAAAGGGCGGTATGACATCGTCTTTGAAGCGCTCCAGCTCTGGAATTCCAGGCGACCTGAAAAAAAAACTTCGTCCTATGGTCCCTGAACCAGTTGATCAAATGGCCAGTCGAGAGTAGAAGCTCGTTGCGATGCGTCTTGGGTTCGGGTCCTAGATTTTCGATCACCCAGGTGGAAGTGGGGAAATCTGTAGGATAGCCGCCAACTCCTGTTGATACCTCTCGTGTAAGAAGCACTCGTCCCAAGAAGGGAATCAGTTTGTACGCGGGCTAAACCGGGACCTTCAGTATGAGCAGCTTTCACTGGCCGTGTTCGTAGGAAATACAAAGCTGAGGTCAATAGGAGTAGGCTCTTATTGAGCTTGAAGTTGCTGTAGATAGCGAGCTTGGTCTCAGCTAACTATCGCATTTTAGCCACACATGGCACTCTAGGTGGGGAATGGCGGCGGCGTTGGGGCGAACGTCGAGAGCATCGATCCTTAGGAGCATTACGAAGCCTTCCTGGATGTCCTATCCGCGGTCCGACGTAGCGAAATCAAGAATATGAAGAGGCGAGGGCAGTTGACCCAAGCCGGGACGACAACACTGCTGCCCAGCGTGGTCGCCATTTCTACACCATGCTACAGGACCTCCAAGATTCGCCTTTCCGTGGCATGGGAGTTCCCAGCCGCGAGGAGATCGACGCGATATTGAAGCTCCAGAATAGGAAGGACAGCAGCGCGACGACAACTATCTAGGGTAGGTAAACCAATCCGTCTTCTGCGCATGCGGACGAACCCCATGAAAGCCTACGGCGGCCCGCCCACGGAGACGAAGGACCAGCAGATATGGTTGGTCCGGCGGGCAGATGAACCTCAAACTCAGTCGTTATACAAGGTACGTCTCGAAAGAAGAAAAGTTGCGTTGGAAAAATATGGTCATGTTGATCGTCGACGAGATCAGCCAGGTGGGCGGACTCACGCTCGCGGCGCTAGACGGCCGTCTGCGGCAGTACAGGGATGATCAGCATCGACCGTTTGGCGGGATCCCAATGGTGATGTCCTTTGGTGACTTCTTCCAGTTCGACCCCGTCCTGCAGACCAGCCTCCTCTTGCCAAGGCCTAGGGACCGCAGCGGACAGAGACCAGAGAGCTCAGCAAAGCACCTAGCAGCGCATAAGCTGTTCCTCCAGTTCACGAACGTCGTCATCCTCCGCGAACAGGTCCGCGCGGCCGGCTGTCCAAGGCTGCGGGGCTTCCTCCGGCGTCTGCGCAACGGCGAGCAGACCGAGCTAGACTTCCAGCGGCTATGCCACCGCCTCCATACACCGTCGTGCGAGTCCTCCTTCGTAGATGGCTTGAGAGCCATCACGCCTCTGAACCGAGACCGGTGGGACCTGAACATGGCGGCCGTCGTCCAGTGGGCTCGTGCCCACGGCAAGCACATCTCCATCTTTGTGGCCAAGCACGATACTGAGTCGGGGAAACGACTGAGTGCGGGGGGCCTATGCCATGTGGTGACTCGCAACCAGTTTGTCGGGCTGAAGGTGGTCAACGGCGCACCTTTCAAGACCGTCGACATCTTTCCCGATCTTGCTGCCGGCACCATTGCCCTCGCCAGTGACGTGACTCTTCATCTTGGACCGCTGGTGGCCGTCCTCCTTCAGTCAGACGATAGCGCGGGCCCCGCCATCCCCGGGCTCCCCAATGGCACCATCCTGATCAAGAGCAAGACGGTCGCCATCCCGAGCCAGATGCGGGGCAAAGAAGGCAGATGGAGGGGCAAGCCGGGTTTCAGGTGGGTTACCCACAGAACCCGGGCCTCTCTGCACGCCGGCCTTCGCCATGACAGATCAGAAGGGCCAAGGCAAACAGTTCTCGGATGTGCTCGTCAACCTCAAAGGCGTCCATTCGAGCGGCACGGCGACGCGGCCCAGCTTCATGAGCCTGTACGTGCAGCTATCGAGGGCGGAGAGCTGGGACGGGCTGCATCTGTTTCGGAAACCGGCGCGTGGCGACTTTATCGAGCCCAAGAATGTGCTTGACAAAGACATGAGGGAGGCTATAGTCAAGCTGGAACGACGGGGCGAGGAGACCAGACGGCGGTTCGAGCAAGACCACAGGCACGAGTCGTGGTTTCAAGAATGGGATGCCATGCCTGAATCTGGCCAGGGTACTGAAACCGATGACGTAGAGGACGCGGCGCTCTGGCGAGACCCTGGGGTTTCCGAGCTCAGATCGTAGCACAGCTCTCCACCGTTGCTCTGTTTTGGAGCTCTTTTCCAGCGGAATAAGCTGCTTCAATTAATATTTTCCTTCTCAACTTGTTGCCGTGTTGCCCTGCAATCTGCATCTTTTCGTGGTCGTCGCTGAAGCTGCCTAGGGCTGCGCCGTCTCATTGGCCCTTATAAACCGGGGCCAGCCCCACAGCCGACAGACCCCAACAGATCGTCCGTGCACCACCACTGCCAAGCCCAACTTCGAGGCGCTCATCGTCAGAGGCAAGTTCCTCCAGACAAAGCAACATGACTGCTTCCACAATCGTTAGGATAATGACAGTAGAACTTCACAGTTTACAGGGAGACATGACACGGCTTTTTCTGATGGGGCGTTTGATGGGGCGTTTTATGGGGCGGAAGTGGTCCGTGCTTGGAGCATACCATGGTTTTTCTCGGAAAAGAAACCTTTCGGAAGTACTCGTTCCTCGTACGTTCCTCCAGGCATTTGAGATGAAACGAGGTGAATGCGAGAGTTGATGTTTGCGAAATTTGAATGACTCAAATAAAGCATTCTATTCATCTTATACCCAGATATGAGGTCATGGAACCTCTCTATTCACTCCATCCCTGGGTATTATCACAACCATCACAGGTCTCTTCCCATTTTATCTCACATCACCAACGCAACAACCAGACCCGCCACACCAATCCACCCCATCCCTCCCCTCCAGCTCGCCGCGCCGTTAGGATTGGTCTCCAACGTCGTCGCATCGCCCGGCGCAAACATGACCGGCACACTGTTATCCGCCGACTCGAAGACCTCCTCGGGGCTGAGCAGTGGGTTATCCAGTTCTGCGCACGAGGGCCGGTTGTCGCTGGCGGGGATGCTGTTGGTGACGGAGATGGGTAGGTCAAATATGGTGTAATAGTCCTCGCCGTTGAGGCGGAAGGACTGGCGGATGGAGACCTGAAGATACGTGCGCGCCGCCGTCAGTTTTACTTGTTCTGGGTGGTAAGAGGGGGTCTAGGAGATGTGCCTGGCTTACATTGTACGCCCCCCGAGCGGTGTCTCCCAAGCCCTTGTCTGCACCGCCGTCCCCGACCAGGCAGTCGGGCCAGGTCCACTTGACGTGCTTCACGGTGCTGCCGGGCTCTTGGAACATGATGTCGCCCAGGCTGGCGTTATTGGCCGAGGCGGTGCCGTTGGTGATGGTAAAGTTGTGCATTGTTTTGTAGCTGGACAGAAAGATGTCGATTTTGTGGATCATGCTGGAGCTGTCCTCGGGGTAAGGGGGAAGCTGGAGTTTGCCGTTGACGGACACGTCCAAGGCGACTTCGATGAGGTCTTGGGAAGTTGATTAGTCGCCCTTGAATCAAGTGCGTGGGAGAGGAAAGGGACATACCCCCGCCGAGGGGCGTGCCCGGCTGAGGGGCATCAACGATAACCAGACCCGGAGTAAAGATCTGGCCGTTGGCGATGGTAAAGTTGAGCGCGGACGCCATCTGGGCAGCAACCAAAAAGGCTGCCCCCACGTATGTGGTCAGGGATTTGGATGCCATTCCTTTCTTGAATCCTAAACTAAGATTACAATAATTGCAGCGCCGCGAATAAAAAAGCTCGGATAACAGGCGTTCCTCAAAAAAAGTTGAACGTCGAAACTATGGGGTGAAGGAGTGTACGAAAGATAAGCTGCCGTCTGAAACTTCTAGAACTTCGAGAAACCTCAAACAACGGGAAGAATATCGAAAAGAGAAGACGAGTAGCGGCCATAAGGGCGTTGGAGGGTATTGCGACCCCTAAATAACGAAACGAAATTAAGAGGATGGGCTAACAAGAACCGGGTTCGCTTCCTGTCTTGTCCCGGATCCGCTCCCGCGGGTGTGGGATGCCGAATCCATGTACCAGATCGGATGTACTGGAGCCGAGGACAAACGACCGATTCAACGATTCAACATCATCTTTGTCGATAGAAGAGTGGGCATGAATGATTCGCATGATTCACAGTTGGCGACAGCAAAAGCCGCAGAAAGAACTAGGGGTCAGAACTCCACGTTGGGATACGTCGTCCAAGCTGTTTTGGGATTGCGGGTAGGGTGGAGGAAGAAGCTCTCCGGCTCTCTCTCATGCATGTTGGAGGGTTTCAGATTGACCGAAATTCCTGGGCCTAGCACCAATCCTGATCTGGTAAGCTCCAACGTTGAGCGTAGGGCATCCGCGATGCAGGGCCGAACCTGCCGTGCCGCACGGGCCATGTAACGAAAGTACCACTCAGAATCGTGGGTTTTCAAGAGGTAAATGGTGCAGCGAGAAAGAGGGAAGAAGTAGGGGGCTTGTACGAGTTAAAGGCAAACCGATTTGATCCGGATGTAGTTAGCGTGCTAAGGCCCTATAGGCCCAGTGCCTCCGGGCGAAATAAATTCCATCCATCCATCCATCGTGGGTTGGGTTGAGTTGAGCTCTGATAATGTTTACTTGAGTACGAGATGGACTTTGGATTTGTGAGACACCATTTAAATGTCGGCAACCTCCTCAAAGCCCTGCATCACCCACGCTTGCCACACCATCTCACCATGCACCATTCGACTACTGTGTACGGAATACTTGTAATTGGAGTCTGACCGGTAATGTCGCTGATTGGTCAATTCAAGCCGAGAGCTTCTCCGCTTGCTTCGAAAGTGGGACTCACTGAGACCTCTTGTGGTTCTCAGCTCTCACTCACCACCTTCCACCTTGGGAGTAACACTTGTCGAGATTCCCCATAAAATCCACCATTTTTGAGGGGTCACTAAGTTCGGAGTCGCTTTCGGGAATCGATGACCTCCTTGGGTACTATTTGACCACGTCCTTCCACTTCAAAGGTAGCAAGAAGATCACGTTTCTCCCCCCGTTCCTTCTCAGAGTGGTAAACAAGCAGCCCTTTTATTCAGGGCTACCAACAGACACCAGACCACCCCAATTCTCTACAAACCCCGGGAGGCACCAACCATGGCAATAACAACAGCAGCCCGCGCCCTCTCCCGGGCCCCAACCCTCCACCACCGTTTCCTCTCCACCCGCCGCTTCACCACCACCACCACCACCACCACCACCACCACGCACCCCACCCTCCCCCCCTCCCTCCTCACCCTCT